AAATTAGCAATTACAATGAATAAAGTTTGTTTTATCAACAATTTCTAATTCCTTCTTCCATATCTTGTTCCCCATCACCATATTCAGTTCCACATATCCTTATATTGCCCCTTTCTTGCCCAAAGTAGTCTGTTTAATTCTACTCCTGATTTTAGAATTATATTTATCTTATCCCTATTACAACCCCCACTTCCCAGGAAACTTTTCACAACTGTTATCCAAATAAAAGGTAACCCTATAAATAGTCTCTATTATTTATTAAACTACTTACTGTGTTAATAGTTTATGTTGAATCAGTATAGTCATTAAGTCGTGGGAGTGTTCTGTATTAAATGCACATGGACAGGTAGAGTTAAGGCAATGTAATGGGTAGGGAATGGAGACAATTTTTGACAAGGAAATTTTCTGGCTGCCTTATAATGTCATTTTGTGGGTGGCTATCCAGTCCTTGTATAGTCAAACCCCAGCCATTTAATACCTGATTCTCCTTTTTGTTTTTCCTCCTCTGCTCCACATCTTACTTTTTATTGAACATGTTACAAAAGAGGTTTAGTTAAAAAGGTCAAATCCCACGTCATCGTCAGACTCCTCAGATTCTTGTTTCTTTGCTTCCACTTCCTTCTCCTCAGCTGGGGCAGCAGTGATGGTGGTGGGGACAGGCCCTCCTGCTGGAGCAGGTCTACCAGCCCCCACATTGCTGATGAGGCATGTCGACATTGGCCTGGGCCTTTGCAAACAAGCCAGGCCCAAAAGGTCCAAAATTTACACCAGCTATTTTATTTATTTATTTATTTATTTTTAGTTGTTGTTGGACACAATACCTCTTTTATTTTTTTTATGTGGTGCTGAGAATGGAACTCAGGGCCTCAGTCATGCTAGGCAAACACTCTACCGCTGAGCCACAATCGCAGCCCCACCAGATGTTTTAATTACAACATTGTTTTTAATATTCTTCTCCATGAAGGATGAGATTGGGCTAGATGCAGGCAAGTTCAGGAATGAAGGCCATGGTGAGGGTATGCTCAGTGAGGAGAGGGTCTCACCCAGTATGTCCTTAGCTTTCTCAGAAGGATAAATCACTGTGGTGGCAGCTGAGGAAAGTCTATTCCTTTTTAATGCTTTTTTCCAAAAAGGACAAATGTAAAGATAAATAAATTTTTTAAATTAAATACCTTTATTCCATTTATTTATTTTTAAATGGTACTGAGGATCGAACCCAGGGCCCCTGCGCATGCTAGGCGAGCACTCTACTACTGAGCCACAATCCCAGCCCTAGAAGTTGGAGATGGTATTCTTTTTTTTTTTTTTTTCAGGAACTTGCAGGAGTTTAGTAGAGTTGGACAACAAGATGCTGAAATAGGGGGCTGGGGATGTGGCTCAAGCGGTAGCGCGCTCGCCTGGCATGCGTGCGGCCCGGGTTCGATCCTCAGCACCACATACCAACAAAGATGTTGTGTCCGCCGAGAACTAAAAAATACATATTAAAAAAAAAAATTCTCTCTCTCTCCCTTCTCTCACTCTCTCTCTCAAAAAAAAAGTTTAAAAAAAAAAAAGATGCTGAAATAGCGTGGTAGGAGATGACACTAATAAAACTGTCAGGAGTGAGATCCTGAATAACTGTGTAGATATCCACAGAAGTCTGGAATGCCTCTTAAAGGGGAAAGGTACCCATTGGATGGGAAGCAGGGTGAAATAAGGTCTGATTTGTATATTTGAAAGGTTCCTCTTGTGTGAAGGTACTCAGGATGAATTGTAGCCATGGTGGAATAACAGTGGTTCACTCATGTGGGTGCCTTTCATTCTTGTCTTTTTTTCCTTCTCATAGGCCTCAGGGGCTCAACTTATTTTTTTTTTCCTTTGGTACTTGCCACCATCTTTTCTGTCCATTGGATATATTTCTACAAAATTCCCTAAGATTGGGACATATGTGTCCTAGCTCCTCATATTTTTATTATATACAAGCCTTTTTGTCTTAATAGCTATTGGTATTTATTGGAATATGAAGACAGAGGGTTATAAAAATCACAAACATGGGGATGTTTAAAAACCTTAAGCTATTTCAACTACAGTTTTTTGATTCTTTAGAAATGGCAACCAGAAGCCTAGCCATCCTTCAACCCATCAAGCTTCATGGCAAGGAGGACACTGATAGCCATTGAATCTGATGGGACTAAATATGTGAATAGGGAAATGAACCTCCACAAAGAAATGATGAATGATATGTCATTACTATCCTTTTTAAGTTAAGTTAGTTCTGAACTTTTTGATTAGGAGAGAAAATCCTTTCCATTTTCTCAGATGTTCAAATTAGACCCAGATTCCCCTTTCCTTCATGTATCATTTATTTTTCTCTTCTGTCTTTATTCTCAAAATACCTAAGGCAGAGCTCCATATAGCTGAGGGTTAGACAAAGTTCTTCTGTTTCAGTGTCTTGACTGGCCCACAGTTACAAAGGTTTCTTTGTTATGGTGTTAGTGATGTTGTTTAAGGCTGGGTTGGGTAAATATTAGTCTTTAAAGTTTCTTCCTTTCAACTGTTACATAAGCAATTTCCAAAACAGCTGTAGAATAGAGATGCATAGGACAGACTGGTAAGTCATTGTGAGAGAGTATCAGGCAAGAAGAAAGCAAGGGGTTCTATAGATTATAATAGTTGGGAGCCTGAGAACTTTAGTGGCAAGCTGGTGTCAATAGCTTTTCTGCCAGTGGACAAAGATATTGCTTAAGCATTGGAACCACACCTTGAGTCTTCGGCAATCTCATCCAAATCTTGCTAGAAACTTTTAGATGAGGGTTCTTAGGCTAAGATGTATGTCTACAGAGACTTTGTTTCTTGAATTAAGAAATGTATTGCCACTGGGAGTTGTGGTGCATGCCTGCAATCTCAGAAACTCAGGAGGCTAAGGTAGGAGGATCACAAGTTCCAGAACAACCTCAGAAACTTAACAAGGCCTTAAGCAACCTAGTGAGACCCTGTCTCAAAATAAAAAAAATAAAAAGCTGGGGATGTAGCTCAGAGGCAGATCACCCCTGGGTTCAATCCCCAATACAGGAAGGGGAGGTCTTCAGATTAAAAACAAAAACAGAGATTTATCTTTTCCGTTGTTTCCTCAGTACTGGGGATTAAGTCCAGGGGTGCTCTGCTTCTGAGCTACATGTCCAGGAAGGGGAGGTCTTCAGATTAAAAACAAAAACAGAGATTTATCTTTTCCGTTGTTTCCTCAGTACTGGGGATTAAGTCCAGGGGTGCTCTGCTTCTGAGCTACATGTCCAGTCCTTTATTGTGTAATGTTTTATTTTGAGACAGGGTCTCTCTAAGTTGCTCTGGCTGATGTGGAACTTGTGACCCTCCTGGGCATTTGCCACGTTGGTTGCATGACTCATTTAGGGGCTGTCTTTAAGGACTTGAAATAACAAAGGGCTTTTAGTTGAGAAACACTTTGCTAGTTAAATGTGACATTTTCTAGTCTATCTCCTTTTTACAATTTTTACTGGTGCATTGTAATTATACATAATTATGGGATTCATTTTTACATATTTGTACATGCACACAATATAACAATATAATATGGTCAATTTTGTTCTTCTAGATTCTCTGAGGCAAGTGATGAAAAGGCATTTTTCCCTTAAGAAAAACTGAAAGTCCTTTGCTCACTTGATTCTATAACTAGCTGTGAAAGATCAGTTCTGCTAAGATGACATTTTTTTTTTTTTCACTACTTCAAAAAACATTTTCCATCCATTACTTCTCGGTAGAATCTATACTAGTTGTTGGCTATACAGTCATTCTAACTTCAAGAAACTTCTGTAGCTTAGTGAGGAGATATTAAAAGAATTGTAAAATATAGAAACATGTTGCTTTAAAGGTGGCAGCTCAAAGAATCAGTGTTTAAGTCATGTCTCTATGTTTGGGGAGGGGAAAAAAAAGGTTTCCTTGAAGAGGCAACGTTTAAACAGCTATGGGGTGTGTGTGTGGGACTCCAGTAGAGTAACCCAAATGTGCAAAAGAACTGAGAATTGTTGGTCCAGTTGGAGAACTACATGTTCAGCCTCTTGGAGTGTATAGGGCTGCCTCAACTGTGGTCAGAACACCAGGGTTTCTGTGTGCCATGTAAGTTGATTTGATTCTAGTCTAGAGCTATTAATAGAAATCTGATAACTATCTACATTTGACTAAAGATACCATTTAAATCTTCCTGAAGCAAATGCGCAGGTAATGATTTTTCAGAAACATTCCTCTCTAATCAAGTCTCTCTTGGCAGGAATGGTGGTATATTAATGTATAGGACTAAAAGTTCATGAGTCAAACGTGCCAGTTTCCAGTCCTCTCAGGTGGGCCAGCAGAGTAGGGCCAGCTCTCTTAAGTCCTGGGGCGGAGTGTTGGAAAGTTGAGCCTGCCATTCCTCCTTTCTCCGAAATAAACTGAGGATTAGGGAGGCGATGGATGGGTATGGAGGGCTTTTAGAGGTCAAGCACATTACTCAGATCTTAAGTTGGGAATTGAAAGGCCTGTCACCAGAAAGACTGCGCGAACCTGAATGGCGATTTGCAGTCAAGAATTCTGGTACCTCTCTCTCCTCTCCTCACCTCTTCCAATTATTTGCAGTTTTTCCCTCAGCTATATATCCTTTACCCACCCTGACTTGTCTCTCTCCCACGATCTCCTTTCCAAGTCTTTTGCTTTCTTTCTCCTCTTTCCTGCCTCGTGGGGTGCCAGTATTCGGAGCTTGGGCAGTTATTTGCTTTGCTAGCATTTCCATCCTCCTCCTTCTATCATTTCTCGCCGGCGCCCAATCCTCCCCTACCGCCGGGTTGGTCGGGTTGTTTGCCCGGAGGCGGCTCCAGGAACCTGAGGCGGATGCAGCCACGAGTCTGCCACGTCTTCGCTGCCAGCTGTCCAGCGCCTGCGTGGGGTCTGGGGGCGGGGCTGCGCGAGGGGCGGTATCTGCGCGTGAGCGGCCCAATGGGGAGTGTCGGCGGCGGCGCGCTGCGCGCCGAGGGGCGGGGCTCGGCGGCGGTTGCTGGCGGAGCCTGGGAGGGCGAGGAGGCTTTAGTTACCTCGGCCGTCGCATCCTCGAGGGAGTCGTGTCGCCGCCATCCCCGCCTCCGAGCTTGTCCACCGCCCCTGAAGCTCTTGTGTGCTCCGGGGAATCTCGCTAGCTGTCTGCCCTCGGCCTTGCGGACCGCGCCTCCAGCAGCATGTGTGGTAAGGGGCCGCGGGCGGGGGGCGTGTTGCGGGGCGGTGCTGGGGTGCTATGCGGGCGCCGCGGAGCCCAGAGACGCCGGGTGGGAGTGGGAGTGCCGAGGGTACGAAGTCTGGGTGATAAGGCAAGGGGATGCCTGCTGTGGTAGCTGCGGCTGTCGCGGGGGCGGGAGTCCGAGTGGTGGTCCGGAGGAGGACACCTGAGAGGCGGGCGGGCGGGCCCCAGAGGCGGTCACAGGAGCCGGAGGGGGCGCCTTTGCGCTTAGAAGGAACCGAGAGGAGAAATACCTATAGGGAAAAAGGAGGAAGAGTGCTGAAGGAAAGGCAAGGTGTGAAGGGGGTGTCTCTAAAAGGGTTCACCAGGTGAGGCAACCTGTAGAACATCCAGTGGCGTGTGTTGAACTTATCTTGCATTCTTTAAAAACAAAACCAAACCTTAATTTTATTCTCTTTTTTTCAAGCAGGCCCAATAGAAAACAGATACTAAATCTAGCTAGAGCTACAACCATGACATTATATGTGGTCTTACTTCCTGCCACTCCCTGTCTCAACGTAAGCCATCGCTAATCAGTAACTTGATGAAGTAGGCTTAGATCTGATCCCCTGGAGTAAGAGGCCCTGAAATGTCCCTGGTGATGGATCGCACATCATGTTATCACTTGCATGTGCACCCATTTAAAATACTCTCTATGAAAAATTTAACGAGTGTCTTTCCTAGAACAGTTAAAAAGTAAAGTTAGACCCTTTTATTCCATGTTTGGGAGTTGTTTTATTACCCCAAAGTGTTGACATTTCCAGAATGGAATATTTTTAAAAATATTTTTTAGTTGTTGATGTACCTTTAATTTATTTATTTATACGTGGTGCTGAGGATCGAACTCAGTGCCTCACACATGCCAGGCAAGTGGTCTGCCACTGAGCCAAAACCTCAGCCCCCAGAATGGAATCTTAAATTATCGATGTACTTAAACCATTGTCAATAAAAAGAATTGTATTTCTACTTTTCATTTTGAAATTTACAACAGACTTTAATCCTAGAAGACAGAACACTTTTTAAAGGGCAGTACAATTGTTATAGAATTGAAGCTACTTGGGAAACTTACTCTTTGCAGCCTTTGGCATGAAGGGACTGAGCAGGAGGTGGATTGTACTCACTAGTGTATATTTTTCCTATATTTAACTTTATATTCATTTCAGCTTCTGAAAATGAGGAGCAGGTTTAAATTTATAGAGTTGATTTAAAAAAACACATAAAAACAAATGCCTATAAATAGCTTACTGAAATTAATAGAGTTGAGCTGATTTCAGAATCACTTATACTTTTGCTATGTCTATGTGGTTTTGTAAAACACATAATTAGTTTGGAGTTGTGAAATAGTGAATTTGCAAACTGGTTAATCCCTGTTGTGCTCATGGCATTTAACTACTTTTGAATGATGAGTTGTATGCCTGGTATTCTGATTGCAGGTCATTTCCTCATCTTGTTCCAGGAAAAAATGGTGTCAAAGTACTATAAGATAAAAAAAAAAAAGATCTGGTTTAGGAAAGGTTTATATAAGGGTGAAACAAGTTAGTACAACATTTTAGGCATTTCTGAGGTCCTGTTTATAACCCTAGCCATAGTTTTACATGATTCCAGGTGGGGTCCAGAATTTATTTCCTCTATAATGTAAATTCTGAAAGTTAACTGTTAATAAGGTGAGAGTTTGCCTTTATTTTGCTCCCATAGCTTAATCACCAAAGTGAAATTTGGTCAGAAAAATTGAGTGGAAATGAGAATAGATGGAAACATTAGAAGTTTCTAAATATTTGAGGCTGGGTGCAGTGATACACTCCTGTAATCAAGCAACTTGGAAGGCTGAGGCAGGAGGATCACAAGTTTGCCACCCTCTGTAATTAAGCAAGAGTTATGTCTTGTTAAGAATGAAATAAGGAATAGAAAGGACTGGGAATGTAGCTCAGTGATACAATCCTCAGTAGGGGGGAAAAAAAGTAGAAAGGACTGGGAATGTAGCTCTTCGGTTTAATCCCTAGTAGGGGGGAAAAAAGTAATTTACCTTGTGATTACTTGTTGCCTAGTTTAGTTTTTCTAAAAGATTATTTTGTTTCAACCTTGTAAAATGTTGAAGCAGAAGAATAAGGATTTGAGTTTCTGTGATATTCTTTTTTCAATCAGATATACTGATAAAACTTAACATGTTTGTAACTTTTTATTGGATTGTTGAAAAAAAAAGAGATCATGTGGTCAGTCAGATTTGAGTAGTAACAGTGTGGCACTTTTTTGGGGGGTGGGGCTTAGAACCTTTAAGGGGTTAAAAGTAAGGATTGTGAATCTCAGAAAATAATAGGGTACCTGTTTTTCAAAATATTTTATCTTTCATTCTTGGTTCTTTGTAATACACTTGATTCTTTTTTATTTGTATTACATTTGGTTTTGCTGAGAGGGTATCAGGTCACTTAAACTGCTACTTAAACCTTTTCATAGGTTTTTGCTGTTTTTAAAAACATGGAATTTTACCCTTCTGATCTGATGCTATATGTAAATTTTGCAAATGAGGTTCTACTCAAAAGCAATGGGGGAACTTGTAATTTAAAAGTATCCTGAGATGTATCATTTTTTTTTTTTTTTTGTAATTGTATTATGTAATAGAATTGGAGGTAATTGAGGGATTCCGAGACTGGCTGTTAGGATGAGTCAAAACCAGTACTATTAACATATCGTTAGAAATCATACTGGATATAAAGAAGTTGTGAGAGAAAATAATTAATTGCTTAATAAGCATTTCCTCAGTTTTGTTCCTTAGAAAGGGAGAAGTTAATAGGTGCTGATTATGAACAGTAAAAAATGGGAAAGGGTGTTGTATGTTACACACCTATTTGGGAAAACTGCTCTTTGAGATTCATGATTAGTAAGATTAAGGATTCTAAAAAGTCCCCAAAATAAACCTGTTAGTTTAGTTTAACCCAGTATTTTTTTTTTTTGAAAGAGAATTTTAATATTTATTTTTTAGTGTTTGGCGGACACAACATCTTTGTTTGCATGTGGTGCTGAGGATCGAACCTGGGCCGCACGCATGCCAGACGAGCGCGCTACTGCTTGAGCCACATCCCCAGCCCAACCCAGTATTTCTTAATTACTTTTTAAATAAAACCTCCTCATCCTTTTTTAGTATCCTGCAAAATAGTATTCTGTTTCTGTGCTTTGGAAATTCTTGACTATATTTCAGGTACCTAGAAAGTGTTAGAAGATACTTGAAGATATTTGAAGTGGTATCTTTATACTTGACACTCTGTCCTTTGGAGAGGTGACTAAAGCAAGGGAGTTGCCTTCAAGTAATTGCTTTCTAGTCAGGGGAAGCAAAATGAATACACATGGAATAGCTGTATGTGATAATCCACAGTCCTTGTTCATTACCATATCATAGACCACAAGAGGAAAGAAGAAATCAGAGACTCAGAGAGACCTGGGCTTTTAGGTATCTGTGTTAGACCAGGAGTATTCCTAATGATTGGGCATGATTCTTAGCGTGAGAAATAGTGTTGGCTGGTGGAGAGTGTTCTATGAGAGGTAATCATTGATGGCATCTATTACCTGTCTGTGAATGGAGTCAGAAATAGATTGAGAACCACCATTGCCAGGGGTGTTGATGGAAGAGATGTAGGTTCCAGGAAAAGAGACCAAAGAAGATTGGTTAAAGGCAAAAGAGTCCAGATAGTATCTTTCCTTGAGGAGTCTGCAAAAGGAGAAAAAGGTCATTTTTGTGTGTGCCTATGTGTGTGTGTTGCTTTTTTTTGTGTGTGTGTGTGTACACTGCTGGGATAGAATCCAGTGCCTTGAATATAGTAGGCAAGTTCTCTACCACTGGGATATCCCCCAGCCAGAAGTCATTCATGATTTTTTAAAAAATATCTTTATTTTACTTATTTCTTTTTATGTGGTGCTGAGAATCGAACCCAGGGCCTTGCACATGCTAAGTGAATGCTCTACCACTGAGCCACAACCCCAGCCTGTCATTCATGGTTTAATATGCAGAGAGAAGTTAATTGGATTTGTTTATAGAGAAATCACCAGAGAAGTTGTACATATGAAGGTGGAAGGACCCAAGTTTGTGTTGAAGAAAAGGGTGGTAAACACCAGTAACAAAGAGGAAGTATTTTGGGAATGGGATCCCTTAGGAATGTTGAAAAGTTGTTTTCCTGACCTATAAACTGAGAAGTCATTACGGGGTATTCATTGCTTGATTCATACTGTACACAATGTCTGTAAGTTGAATAAAAATTAGCACACAAAATGTTCTGTATTTGTAAAGCTGAGGAATCACTCATCAAGAGCTACAAATAGGAGAGGCTAGCTTCAGAGGTTGGTATGGGGGATAATGTCTCTCTCTTGAATGTTTAGGGAAGGATGAGTGGTACATAGCATATTATAGTATTAGAAATGAAGATGAAGGTTTTAATTCTATAGTGAGAATCTACCAAAAATGAGAAAGAAGCTGAGAAGAGAGAAATAGGGATTGGAGAGTAATGTGTATTCTAGACTCTAAAATAATATGTGGGGTAAGTTTGAAAGTTAGGTAAAGGATGAATTAACAGGATTGGTCAACACTTTGGGAAGGCTCATATAAAAGTGGACTGAAATGAATGGATGAGTTCTGCATGTCTGTCATAGGTGGATACAGGGATGGGACTCAGGAATAAGAGCACAGTGGTCCCAAAGGTGCTGACTTGGCAGAATGATAAAAAGTTGTAGTATGATGTGAATAGTCAGAAAGAAATGGGAAGGATAGATGGACTCTTTGAATACTTGTGAGAGAAAGTAAATGCTTTTATCTTGAGAAAGATGATCATTTAGGCAGTCTATGAGGGAGTGTGTTACTAGAAACTTTAGGACTTAACAGTGCTTTGAGCTCCAGAATATTAAATGTGCAAGATAGGTGTCTTGGAGCACCATCCAGTGCAACATACAGTTTCAACAAGGGAGTGGAGACTTGAACCAGCACTTC